TAAACCTTTTGGGTTAAACATGCTGTGCATGTAGGTACAACCATCCACTCTTCACAGCGCCAGCTTTCTCACCACTCCTGCTACGCTGGTGTACGATGCACTGTGTCAATCTAGGCATCTTGCAGAACTTTAATGGGAGCTTGGTATCTCTATTGATGCAACATGGAACCTTTATCCTTCAAGAGTTGATTTTCTTTGCACCGTATCTTTATATATGCAGGTGGTTTTGCATGGAAATTCATCTTCACAGCATTGGATCCATAGTCATCGCTGCCGACCGCTAAGGATTCTTTGGTAGCGGCAGTGCTGAAGACTGCTTCCGAACTATGTCTGCCCGATTCCGATTGTGGGCACGGGTCAATCGATATGGGTGTCTCATCTAGATCTTGTACTCGTTCTACAGGTAACATTTTTGAGAACGATGGTGTAAGTTCATTTTTTGATTTCGGGGCGAGTCAAGGCACTCGCAGGGCTACATCAACAGTGGGCTGTTGAATGCAGCAGATGGATACCCCACACTTTGCTGCAAAGCTTACAATGGGCGGTTGATGCTGATTTTTCTTGATGTGTGTTGCCACGCTTTAGCTGAACAAATTTCTGGGGACGTTGAAATCACCAATGCCTGCGTCGCAGCACGATCCTTGACGGCCTGGTTCGATTTGCTTGAACGCAGTCCACGATTTTTGAATCAGCAACAGCGAGTTGGTTTGCATGCATTTGGCATCAAATTTGTTCAGGTGTTGGAGAGATTGGCAATAGTTGCTTTACTGTCCAACACGTCCCGGTGGCGACTGCAGCCAAAGCTGCACGCCTTTGTGCACATAGCGGAGGATCACCTCTGGTACGGTTACAACTATCGATATGTTCATTGTTACCTGGACGAGGATTATATAGGCCTCACTAAAAGGCTAGCGTTGAAGGTACACAGGGGTGGGCTTATGGAACTCCGCATTCTGTGCAGATGGTTGCTTAGGTTGGGTTCTTGGATACCATCGTAAGGCCTTCGAAGTTAGAATCCAACTGCTCCCGACACCTTGCGGCCAAGCTTCGATGACAAAGGCATTGTCCGCATAAGCAAGGGCTGGGCTGGGACATGATTGTGGTTAGACATGTGTATATAGCCCATGTACCTGTCGGATCATATCGGATCTTATCGAATTTCTATTTACTAGATCTGCATGCAAAATTTGTGGTCGGACCTAATATAGCGTGGTCGGACGACCTCAGAGCCTGCAAACCCAAATGCCTGCAAATAGAGCAGCTTTTGGAGCGTCAGGGGTTTTTTGAAGGTGATTGGACGCCACTGACTCGCAGTATTTGGACGCGAGTAGGTAGGTTGTTTTGGACGCCTCTGGTTTGTAGAGCAAAGCGGGTTTCTAAAGAGGGTCGACGTTACGGAAGTGGGGAATCACGCTTGTTTCTTCCGAGAAAAGGACATCATCGAGATTAATCCAGTTACTGTAAGTAACTGCAGAAGGAGTTGACATCAAAACCAGGGTGTTTTAAAGACAGAGGAAAACCCAGTCGTTGGTCATTCGTGAAGGGCTGCAAGCAGATGGGTGCCCAGCCAGATGAGTGCCCAGCCTGCTTGATATCCTCCTCAGTGCTGGAGAAGCTGTGGTTGGTTTCTGAGCGACACAAAACTCTTGATCAGGTCAAAGGTCCCCAGGGCTTGGAACTTGGTAGAAGCATATCGGTTCATTTCGCTGAGCGAGGGCATCGGATGGGCAGCTGCCTGGGGTGTTCAATCAGCCCAAGATAGACATTTGGCCACCAACACACCCATACAGGCAAGAAGACCTTGCTGACCGCAACACCAATTCAGAACAACATCGCGGAGTTCAGAGCGATCCTGTATATGGCAGTTGGGGAAGGATTGATGATCCTTTCCAGAAGTCTGAAAAGCATTTGCTCCGCCGACAGACGGAATTGAAGGTTTCAACCAAATGTAGATTTGGAACTTGCTGCTTGCGCCAGTGTTTGCGCCAGGGCTGCGATCTGTATGATTGTCAAAAACACGTTTCATGTTTTTTTCCGCAAACATAGGTTCAGCTTTCTCCCACTCACAAAATGCAGCATGCCCCTTACTTTACACCCAACAAGAAATGGAACTGTTGCACCGTTCATGGTTTTTTCCTAAGCTTCGCAGCGGAGCCAGCCACAACAATATATATATTAATATATATACAAACACACCAACTCTATATATCATAAATGAGCATGGTTGTATGTACACCATGCAACCTCCAAACCAAGCCGCCCAAAGGCTCCAAACCAAGAAGCCCCAAACTAAGTAATTAGGGGCAACACTCCAAACCAAAAGGCCTTCCCCCAAGCCACTGCCAGGCAGTGGAAGAACTCCCAGCACCCATGCACGGCGAACAAAAGATGAATTTGTTGAAGTCACAGGCTGTATGCATCACACTATCGGCCTCAATCAGCATCGCTTCAGTCTGTCTCTTGCCCGTCCCAATTCTCAACCACCCCTCGGGCCCCCCATCCCAAGCACGCTTGAATCCACAGGACTGTGTTGTCCTGTCAATCAATGCTACACGCTGGGAGTCACCAAACTCCCCTCTATCCCAGGGATCCTCCTCACGACTGCTCCTCTCACCCCTGACTATGTTGTTTCACCAGACAGCGTGAGCTATTGGGGCTCTTACTTCAAATACAGGAAGAGCTGCGTGTGTGCGTTTTCGAGCTTGGCTGCAGGGTGCCGCTGCAGGGTGCCGTTGCAGGGTGCCGCTGCTGTGTGCTCTTGTGAGCTTGGGTGCTGAAGCGAATATCCGGAGGAAGGAGAAGCCTACGAGCGTAGGAAGGAAGTGAAGCGAGAGGAGCGGGAGGCGGTCATCACCGTGAATGCCCAGATGCCGGATGGAAGCACAGTTCCCATCAAGACGAGCTTTTTCTTGTGCTGGGGCAACTATTTTGCGATGGGCTCTCAGTTCGAAATTGCTTTCTTTCTCTGAATCTTTACTTTTACCCTTGCAGAGACGGTCGCCGCGTCCCATCGATGCGAACTACGGAACATGCGCTGTCATTGTGTAAGACTGTCACAAAACACATTGTCTTTCCCAGGCCAGGAGATCGCAGGGCAGTTTGTCGAGCGCTTGAGAACCGCCAGGGACGCCGGTTTTGATCAAGTGGCTGTCAGCTTTTCATCGTCTCCGTAAACGCAAGAAGCATGGTTGAAGCGATCCGGTTTCGGTTCGGTTTGGCGTTGCATCCATTTTTATCGGTGCGATGCTTCGGCTTCAAAACCCACTAAAGAAGACTAAGGGCGGAAACCATTCAGATATAGTTTCAGACTGGACCAACCCTTTCTCACCGCAAACCAAAATTATTCAAGTGTGAAGAGGGCAGGGCCAAGGAGTATAAACGCACTCCAGTCTAAACGCAGTATAAACTTGCCCATGCCCTGCGCTCGTGACTCTCCCTCTTTCGCTCCCTCTCTCCTTCCCCCTCTCTCTCTCTCTCTCTCTCTTTCTCTTTCTCTTTGTAAAGGACTAACCCCTTCTCACCCCAAACCATGGAAAAAGAGTGAAATATTCAAGTGTGAAGAGGGCAGGGCCAAAGGAGTATGAACGCACTCTAAACGCAGTATAAACTTGCCCATGCCCTGCGCTCGTGGCTCTCCCTCTTTCGCTCCCTCTCTCTCTTTGTAGAGGAGTCAAGACCTGCTCCTTTGGGCCGGGTGTGAACAGTGAAAATCTATTAGAGAACCCTCTCCGTCCCGTAGATTGACAGGAAGAACGAACTTCCAGCTCTATGTCTGCTCAGGCGTGGCCAGACCCTACCAAAAACGATAAAGAAATAAGGAAGTTCCGGCCATGCAGTGTGCGACCAAGGATTTGGCCAATCAGGAAAAATGAATTTGCTCAGGGGTGAAAAAAGGCTCAAGAACAAAGGATGTATATCAATATCCACAGTCTAAGTGGAATATATTATAATGAAGGCTGAATGGAGGGTGTGTGTGGAAAAGGGATCAGCAAAGTTTGCTTGCACGAAGTTTGTGCATTATCAAAAATACCTTCCCGAAAAGTTAGTCAAGGTTGTTGCAATAAATGGTCTTGGTGCGGCAGCCGCGCAATCGGTTCGGTGTCGACGGTCGGTTTGTGTGTTTTTCTCGGCTCGGTATCGGCTCGATGCCGCGTCGTATTTGTCGTTTCGGTTTGGTTTTTCGATTTGCGGCGTTTGCGATCGGTTCGGTTCGGTCTGCATCGGCTTCGGTTTCGGTGCTACGATTTGTAATGTTGAAACACCCATGATGAAGACGTGTTCAGGAGTATCAAACGGATTGAAGAGATGTCAGGGGTGGAGTTTGCAGACGTGTTGATCACAAAACAAAAGTCGGTGAACATGCCGCTGCAGGGTGTCGCTGCTGTGTGTGCTTGGGAGCTTGGGTGATGGTGCCGCTGCTTGGCAGCTTGGGTGCTGGTGCTGCTGCAGGGCTGCTGTGTGCGCGCGCTGGTGCCGCTGCTGGGTGTCGCAGCTTTGGAGTTTGGGTGGTAGGTGCAGGGTGCCGCTGCTGTGCGCCCTTGTGAGCTTGGGTGCTGGTGCCGCTGCAGGTTGTCGCTGCTGTGTGCGCTTGGCAGCTTGCTGCAGGGTGTGTGCACTTGGGATGTATGACCGTATGTGACCGTATGCACTTGGGAGCTTGGGTGTTGGTTTGGTGCGCTTTGGAGGTTGGTGCTGCTGCAGGGTGTCTCTCGAGGGTGCTGCTATACGACATGTCTCTTCCCCTGTGCGCTTTGAATTTTGGGTGCGATTACGGCTGCAGGGTGCTGCCCCACAGATTTTTTTTGCCTGGCGTCTATGCTGGCGTAATACCATCCAACCATAACCACCCCCCCTTCCATGGTGCTGGCTGATACATACGTGACACTCCAGGCCATTGTAATTACAGAATATTACTATTACAATATATTAATGTTTGGGAGTCTTTTGATCCTTCTACTTGGCCAACCATTCAAGTCTCCTTTAGTCCATGTTTGCTGCAGGTGACAACATGTCCACAGCGAGTGAGACCCCAGTGCAGCGAGAGGACGCCGTGATACCAAAATGTTCATGTTCATATTGCATCAGGGGGAAGGGACTGGAGAGCCACTAGACCATGGATTGACAGATATCCATGCCTTGTGGGAGGTGTCAACGCCTGAACTGTACTGTAGTGTTTCATGTTGAATCCTCATTCTTTACGGGTCTTCAAGCATGCAGCCGTGTTCACCTCTCAAAGCCTCCATGTTTCTTGGGTTCTTTTCACCCTTTTCAACCCATGGCACCCTGCCACTGCCACGGACTCCACCTACCGCCCAACCCACCCAGCCGTGAGCGCCTCTGCAGGAGCTGAGTAGCCTCGGCGCCGAGCGCCTCGCGGAGTTGCCAGTCGCGGAGGAGCTTCGATTCACCGGTGGTCGGTGGACTGACCCAAGAAACCTGGATCACCTGCTCAGGCCCGACCCTTCTCGGGGGGCCTGGGACAGGTGAAACGACTGTTCTCGAAGGAGGTGGAAAAGAAACATGGTTCCCTTGAAGACATGAAAGATTCGCCTGGCATGAAAGATGATAAAGATGGAACAGGTGAAAGTTGGGTTAACCATTAGTTTTTGTAGGGAAAGCGGTTTGGGGTCTGGTGTTTGTTTGGAAGGAACTTGCCTGGAGTGAACCCATGAGACCATCCATCCATCTCACTTGGAGCAGTTGGTTACGATGAGGTCATGTCTCAGGTAAGTAAGTGCTTGACGTTTTCACCCTGGGAATGTAAAAAAGACTGCTCCACCTTGTGAACACCCTGCAAAAGTGCCCGCACGGCTCTCGCTCCACGGCTCGCGTGCGCTCCACTCGATCTCCCAGGAGATGTCCTTAGCCGAGCTGAACCGAAAGCTGGCGCCGCCCGGCGAACGCAGCGTTCCTCCTGCCCGTGGCGGGGGGGGGTCCGGTTCCGTTGAACCAGGTCTGGAGCCGATCTCGCTCCGAAGGGTCCCAATGGTCCGGGCTCCAAACCCTCCCGGTTGGTTCCTCCGGTTTGGCCGGGTCGACCCGGTGTTCTGCAGTGGGGTTGATAGTTGTGGTGTTCTATTCTATGGGTCCCCCTAGACGGGAGGGGGAGGCCCTCCATGTTTGAGCTGCACACTCCAGACGTGGCAGGATGGGGAGTGGGGGATTGCTTGGTGGACCGGGTGAGGAGAAGCAATCGGTCGGTGGGCTGGGTGGCTGGGCGGTGTTTCGACCCAAACCGTGGATCTCCTGCCCCAAGCGTTTGACTGGGGGAGGGGTTTCCGGCCACCTAGGAGAAGTGTTCGAAGGTGGCGAGTGCTGAGTGTATGCGAGTAAGTCATTGAGTCAGTGAGTGAGTAATTGAAGGTGGCGAGTGAGTCAGTGAGTAATTGAGTTTGACTTGAGTGAGTAACAAGAGTTATAGTCTCTGGCCATGGGCCAAATGAATACACTCTGACTCACGTTCTATGGATGTGGATCGCATGTCCTTTGGGAATGTGCAACACAGGGTCTTTGTTCCCTTCTATGGAACCTGAGGAATTGGGTTATCCCGGGGTCCATTGACTGAGCAATTGTATGCAGTTGAGGGCATCGGTGGAATGAAGAAGGTATCCTTCGGATGAGACGCTTGTTCATAGGTATCATGAATGTAGTATGAGTTTTGGATGAATTATGTATAGTATGTAGTATGAATGAATGTAGTATGTAGTATGTAGAGGTGCCCGAACTTGATTGGTAGTTTTGGATGTTAGTTTGTCTCATCTCTGCATCTCGTTCTCTCATGTCAGTTTAGTCTCGTGGCCCTTCTGACTGGCTTATCATTTGCTTTTTGTTGGCCTAATCATGTTCTATCAGGGTAAGAACTCACTGTAAACATCCCCATGACCATTTCCACTCCTAGGTGGGCCAAAAAAACCTCTCACGGAAAAAGAGTGGTTTGTGTCATTTTGCGTCGGAAGATCTGGTTTAGAATCGGAGACGTGACATCGGCACCATGCACTCCGTGCACTCCCGATCCGATGAGAACTCTGATTTTTGTTCCATTTCTCCTGCGACATATGGCATCATATGGCCCTCTTTACACCAATTGGACTTGGTTCCAGCACTGGCGCCATTTGGAACAAGTGAATGCTTACCGGAATTTGAGCCACGTATACCTGCACACCCGCTCAAATGGTTCCAATCTCGAGTGTTTGGATCTTTTGGCAAACTTCCGTGCGATCAAGGATTTCAGCAAAGAGTTGCGATCATAGCTACGAAATGGCCGAGCTGAAAATACTCGGCATTGGTCCAGGTGGTACACATGGTACGTATACATGGTACACAAAGAGGATCCACCAAGTGATTCTTTAGACTTCCATCAGCTCCATGAGGACTATCTCCGTGGATTCCATCTCCAGTTTCTTTTGGTTCGCCCAACTTCGTGGATTTCATCGTTTGACCATTTTTGACCTACAACAGCTGATAGCTGTATCTTTCATAACTGCTGCATCTTTCGGGCATCAGCTTTTGGTCTGACTCCTTGGGTTCGATCGATACAATGGGTGCTGTATTGTGTGAGTATATTAAAATAGGGAGACCTCCCAGGCATCCCGACCCCTTGGTTCCGGTTCCGGAAATAGACCAGGGCTAATCGGGGGTCGCCTGGATTTTAAGATACATCAATTAATTTATATTGTGAGTTGTACGCTGTACAACATGCTTTTGACATGTCACCACCCGTCCCGCTACCGCAGGGCGGGCTCATGAGTCGAAAACGGTCCGCGGACGTGACGCGCTCGCGCGTCGTTCAATTCGCTTCGTGGTGTGTCTTGGCCTTGACTTGCTCTACTTTTCCTACTACGTGGGCCTCGACTATACACCCTTCGCTATCCTGGACCTCGTTTGCCATCGATAGCTTCGCATTGGTAGCGGAGCCCAAACCCGTGAAGGGGGAGGGCTCCAGCTGCGCACTCCGGTTCCTCGAGCCGCACGCTCTCGACAAGTCCTTTGGTGACTTCCCTCTGCGGACTTGGCCACGCTCCTGTTTCCTGAGTTCTTTGTTGGACACCCTTTTGGGAGGAGCACGGCGGAGATCTTTGTTCCACAGAATGCCGCCGCCAAAGCAGCAGAAGGGAGATGGAAGAGGAGCGTCGAGCTCGACGACATCCAAGCCAGATGAGACTGGCTACGCTGACCTTCGGGACTCCTATGTTCCCCTCTTCTCCGGGCAGCCGGCCGACTACAAGGAGTGGCGTCAACGCATCCAGCTCTACCACCGCAAGATGTCGCTCTCCAAAGGGTCCCAAGAGAGTGTTTTGAACATTGTCGGATCGTTCAAAGGTGTAGTCTGGCTCCTATTCGAAGACTGGGGTATCGACAAGCTGGAGAAGGACAACGCCTTTGAAGACATGCTCAAGGTGTTGGATGGCAATTTCGCCTACGACCAACGGGTCCAGTTGCCATCGGACTTCGAAGGCTACTTCTCACATCTTCAACGGCTCCCTGGTCAGACGCTCCTCACCTACGTCAATGACCATGAAGAGGCCTACAGGAAGCTCTTGGCACACAAGGTGAGCCTTCCTGATGAAGTCCAAGGTTGGCACCTCCTCCGTCGTGCAGCGCTGACGAAAGAACAGCGACAACTCCTGATGCTGAAGGCACCCACCCTCGAGAAGGCCACAGTCATCGAGGCCATGTATCTGATTCTCGGACAAGACTATAAGGGTGGAGGTTGGAACCACGACCGCAACCGGCGATTCTCCAAGTGGACCAACAAGGCCTACACTGCTCAGGATGATTGGGAGGAGATGGATGAAGAACCAGTCTGGGAGGAGACTGGCTACTACGAGGAGGACTACCCCATTGGGGACTATGACCATGAGGAGGGTGATTTTGATGATGAAGCTGGTTACTATGGAGGTCAGGACGATGATGCACCCTGGCCAGACTCCAATGAGACCACGAGTCCAGAGCAGATGGCTGAAGAGTTTGACACTGCCTTCGCCTCCTACACAGACGCTCGCAAACGCTTCAATGAGTTGAAGATGGCTCGTGGCTTTCTCCCTGTGGTTGCACTCACTGAGCAACAGCCTCTGCAGACAGCAGCTTCTTCGTCCTCATCCCCTACGGCATCCTCATGGCAGAGAAAAGGAAAAGGAAAAGGGGGAAAGAACAAGGGAAAAGGTCGTGGCCCCTCGGCGACCATTCGATTCTCCCCACAAGGTGCTGGAAAGAGTGATCCAAAAGGAAGAGCACGCGCCAACATGACGTGCCTTCGTTGTGGACAACAAGGTCATTGGGCTGCAAACTGTCCACAATCCAGCTCGCCTACCTCAAAGGGCTCAAGCTTGAAGCGACCTGCACCAACCGAGAGCATGGCACAAGTGGCTGAACAAGCCCTGATCATCTTCGAGGACAAGAACGGCACTCAGCGTCCTGACTGTGTGATGCTGGATCCTGGTGCCAGTGCCTTTCTCTCAGGATATGGTCCCTTCCGCCGCTACTTGGAGCACCTCAAGTTCGACTGCAACTTCCCCATTGAGAAGATTGCCATGACCCAAGGAAAACGAAGATTCCAGTTCGGTGGCGATGCTGCATCCTGGTCTACCTGGTCGGCACACCTCCCAGTGTTCCTGGATGGTCGCTATGGAACAGTGCAGTTGTTCCTCTTGCCCGGCAACACGCCTATGTTGTGCGGTCGCCCCATCGAGGCTCTTGGCATGACCATGGACTTTGCCATGAAGCGGATCCGCATTGGCAGTTCAAGTTGGCAAGAAGCAACCATTGGCCGTCAAGGTGAGTATTTGCTCTCGCTCACGATGGAACACGACCTTATGCAGTACGACCCTGACCAGCCTGACTTCGCCCTCAAGACCGCTGAACCTGATCTACCGCAGATTGATGGCTTCACCCTGCACGACTTCGAGCAGGAGGAACAAGGGTTCACAGTCAGTGAACGAGCTGAAGTGGTGGACGACACTGCCACCAAATGTCTCCGACGACATGACCTCAATACCATGGACGTGCAGCTCAGGACTCACCTCAATGAGCTGTCAGCCTATGTGACACGTCACCTACATCCTCCAGAACAACAGCCGAAGCGTGTCCTATGGGAGGTCTACTGTGGCTCAGCTCGCACTTCACAAGTGGCTGAAGCGCTGGGAATGAGTGTTCGATGCTTTTCATTGGATACTGGCTGGAACTTCGAACGACTTGATCATCAAGAAGCCTTCCTTCGTGAGCTCGATGAAGAAGCACCAGATGAGTTGCTCATGGCACCTGAGTGCAAGCTCTGGAGCCGCATGCAAACCCTGGCACGAAGAACACCTGCACAGCAAGAAGCACTGATTGCAGCTCGACACCATCACCATGATCGTCATCTGTGCTTCGTACGCCGTGCCTACCTCAAGCAGGTTGAAGGTGGACGACACGCCCATGTGGAACAGCCCAAGCATGCGCTCTCCTGGAAGACCAAAGCACTTCGTGACTTACCTGGTCGACGCGCCGACTTTGACCAATGTCGCTATGGAGCAACATGTCAAGATGAAGACACGGTCTGGCGCCCAGTCAAGAAGAGCACCACCATCATGACCACCAAGCAGGCCATGCAGAATGCCCTCACGCTGACGTGCAATGGTGAACATGATCACTGTGCACTGGAAGGATCTGCACTTGGTCTTGGCCCTCGCACCAAGTACATGGAGAACTACCAGCCTGCACTTGCAAGTTCTGCACTTCTCATCGATGAAGCACCTCAAGCTTGGGAGACGGCACACACGTCTTCAGAGCAGAAGCTGGTGACTGGCAACTTGGTCAAGCTGCGTGTTGATACGAAACAAGAGGCCATCCGAGTGGTTCAACGTCTCCACAGAAATCTTGGTCATCCTTCCACGAAAGAGCTCACCGAACT